TTTTTTTTTTTTTTGTTCAAATAGCGGAGAGCCTGAAGGATAAAGATGGGGAAGGCTGGTTTTTGATGGAAACCTTAACAGAATTTTCAGTTCTTTCGGGGATATCAAATTTCATTCTGTAAACTGTTAATTGAATTTTTTCGATTTGGTTGAAGCGCTGCGTACTCGTCATCGATCAGAACAGCAAGTGTTTGTCGTCTTGTTTGTTGAGTTTACTTCTGAAGTTTTTTAATGAGCTTTCATTTTGTAGATATCGCCGTTTAATTCATTAGCCAGCGTGACTAACGTTTTGGTGGCAGCTAGATATGTTCATCTCTTGCGGAAGTCTTTGTGTTTTGCGACGTAACTTCGAATTAAAAAAAATTGAATTGAGATGGACGAATAGTTTCTGGCATATTGGTGAATTCTTTTGGATTTGTCGAGTAGTTGTAAAAGCATGAGCCTGATTTTCGGGCTGAGAATGAGAAAGATGTGTTGGTGTGGTTTGAACCAAATGGCTTACTTGGGGGTGTACGAGTAGTCAAGGCAGGGGACGGCAAAATGCTTTTAGAGTAACTTTTTAGGTGTGTAGGAATTAAGGTTCTTTTTGCCAACACGACGAATTGTCAGGGTGGTGTGTTACCAAGGAGCCGGACTTATTGGACAGTGAGGCGGTTATGGTGGTACTCTGCTTCGGTTGCTATAATCTGATCATTTGTTCAGTGTGTTTTATTGGCGTTTGGGATTGGAACGGGTTGCCGAAAGTCTTCTGCCGAGGTCCCTTGAAAAAACTTTTCTCAAACATTTTTTGATATGCACCTTCAGTGTCCCTGTCTGTAGAATGGTGTTTACACCTCCTTATTGGTTGTTAGGAGAGGTAGCAGTGAAATTTTTTTTTTTTTGGTACTTGTCGAGGCAGGCTGTGTCACCAGGTTGGGAACGTTAGTTTGGATTAGGTGATGTTTTTGTTATGGAATTCTTTTATGGAATTGGTTTCTCTGTTTAGCAGGATTAAGCCTTGTTGTTAATGGAGAGTTTTGAGTGGATTGTGGATTCAGATAATGCCACGGCGTGTGTTCATCTGAGTAAAATCCAGTCCTGCCTTTTGGATGTTGTGCTACAGCAACAGTAGGAGTAGTCTTGGTGAAGATCTATTGGGATGCACAGCATCTATTCGGTTAGTAAAGATGTGCAGCAGTATAACATAAAAGTTAACGTTTGAGAAGGTCAATGAATTCAATAACGACTAATAAAAATATGAGATTTAGAGAAATTTTTTTGTTGTTTTTATTTGGGCTGTTGAAATTTTTGCTTTGGGAAGCTATTGCAATGGTGTACGGTAGTTGAATGATCAGTTTGATGTTTCCGTTTCTTTGTTTGTTTTTTAGTTCTACAAGTTATTCTTATTTAAGCTATACTTTGGGCAATTGTTTGTACAATTCCGCAGTATGGTACGCTAAACAAAATTTTATGAAATATTTGTTTGGTTAGTCGTGACGTTTTGGAGTTTTGGATTGTTGAAGATTATATTTTTCAGGTTTATTTGAAAAGTTTACTAGATTGTTATTTCATGAATATTGTTTCTGAAATTTTTTTCTGCTTAAAATTCTAAAATATTGGTAGCAACTGGGATTTCGAGTGAATAAATGTTGAATTTTCTCTTCTTTTATTTTGAAACTTTAAATTTATCATTTGTTCCACTTATTAGTGGTTGTGGAAGAAACGGAAAACAGCTGATTGGAATTGTAAAATCTGCATACATCGTTGAAGAAAAAGCAGATTTTGTTTTGATTTTAATTGAAAAGTTTTTACTCAGAATCATAGTTATTACATTTATCTAATCAGAATATCACTTTTTGATCGTTTACGGCTGAACTTTCGGATACTCAGTGGTAACAAAAACAAAAAGCAATTATTGTAGAAATTTCATGATTTAGTCAAAGATTTTCCACACTGTCAGTTGTAGTTGAATATAGCTAATACAAAAATTTTTGACTAGTTCCTTGTTGATAAGCGCAGATACCAATGTTTAATACTTTATGTCTATGATTATTGTTGTCGGGATAGTGGATTTTCACACTTTTAGCTGAAATCAGAAGGAAACCTTGGCAGTTTCCAGCGTTTCTCCATAAATTTTTTATTTTCACATTCATTCGTATTAAATAAACTAAAAATTTTAATGCTCACATGAAAGGTATTTAATTAATCTATTTTATTCGACACTATGGATTTTGAAATTGAACATTTCCAAGAGAAAAGTGAAATTTGTAAAAGATGTTTCAGCAAACTACTATTTGCAATCTTGTCACTGTTTATTCCTTATTGTATCAGTAATGTTTCACCTATTGTTTTGTGGAAACCGGTAGTCACGCATTGGTGCGCTGTAATATGAAAAGGAAGGAATTTGAAAAATAAAAGATTATGAGCTGTGAGTATTTTCACCTCAGACAAATTAGATGATCACTTGAAACGAACAAAAATTTGACTTATTGGACAGATGGAAGTTTTGAGGATTTGAAGCAAATGTTAGCTTAAGAAACTTTGCTATGCACTTTCATTTGTGCAGGTTTTTTAGTAGGGGAAACAAAATACTTATAAAAAGCAAGGAAAAATGGTTGCATTGGTACAGAACAGTATTTGCAATTGTTTGGCGGACCATGTCACGGTAAGGTCAATGGGTATAGGTCGCGGAAATTAAGTCTTGAAAATAAGCTTATTATCAGAAGGTATTCAATGAGCTGGCTATATACTTAGCACTGTATTATCTACTTTTTTCTTAGAGTCACGAAATGAATATTACAAAAAGTTTTTTTTTCTAAATTTACTTTCCTGCTTGTTGTTTATCTAGCATATTTGCTGTAGTCTACTATTGGATTCTTGAAGTAGTTTTTTGATGAATCATTGAAATTAACTGTCTTCGTTCACTTTTTTTTTTTGCACGTTGAAGGTGTATTTTTGGAGAATGAAATCAAAATGTTGTACAATGTAGTCAAAATAAACAAATTTACAGAGTACACAGGAATAGAAGTTAACAAACAGTTTAGGCTGTTGTAGACAAAGATGGAGAAGCCAACAGTAGAAAAGGTAAAAATTTCCAACATTTTGGAACATCCGCTGCAATTTGTCGGTAATAGTTCTAAGAAGTTAAATTTGCTTATAAGAAACATTTCGCTGGTCGTCATTGTTAACCTTTAATTTTGGATACTATAATCGTTGAACAGTAGACAGTTATATTCAAACAGCTCTTTGACAGCAAAAGTGATTTTATTCAGATTTTTTTTTTTTAGCAAATTTAACAATTCAATTATGCAAGAAATCAAAAGTCAGTTTATCCAGAACGTATTACGGTTGTCTTTATTTTTATTTTACAGTTTGAGAAAGTAAAAAAGGCTCAAAGTCTTTATCAGCCATGGATGGATAATATGGCTGATTCAGACCAGGAAATGAAGGACTATACGCCGTCTCCAGTTCATCCACCACAAACGAAAAAGAGAAGCAACTACAAATTTGATCAAGACTATTTAAAAGCACTCTCTACTTCAGTACTTTCACTGACTATTTATTTTCTTTGTGCATTTTAAAAGTAGTTTTATTGTTTAACAGTTGACAGTATATTACAGTTTTTACTGTAAAATAGAAACGTAGTTCAGAATTATTTGTCAGTTAAACGGTTGGGTAGGACTTAAATTTTCACTTTTTGAACAGCTATATTACATCGTCGCTTTCTGAGTCTGTAAGTCGACTAGGAGAAAAGTTTTTTTAATGGTGTTTTGGTGCAATACGACAGAAAAAAATTTTCTAGGCTATGGAAGTTTTGAGTGCTGATACATCATCGCTTTTCAGTCTGATGGATCTGTAGCAACATCTGGTCGGTCTACGGCACTAGATATGCCTCCAACATCACCAGGCAACAAAACGCCGTTACCTACCACAGATCAGCGTAAAACTTTAGTTGTCTTATTCTTGTTTAAAAATTGATCGATTTTATTTCAATTTTATTTTTTTAATTATCTTTATTTTTGTAAATTTGAATAAAATGCGTTTGAAAATTAGAAGTTTAGAACGGGAAGAAATGCATTGTTGCCTTTATGCTAGAGCTTGGTGAACTGTTTTTCATTTTCTCTAATACGTTTATAAAGTCGGTCACAGCGAAGTTTATTAGTGTAAGAGTAAAAAATTATAGCTGACGAGTTAAAGAGGAAGTCCAGTAGTTCAAGTTCAAGAAAGAAACGTTCACAGTCACGTTCAAAGTCTGCATCACGTTCTTTGGCTGGTTTACCTGTTGTCAGCCACGCGGTAATCACTCCTTTAGTCAAGTACGCTATTTTAAAAGTAACTTCATTTTGATAATGCTGGATTCTTACTTAATTTAACTCCCAGACACAGTTTTTTCTTGCCTAATTCTTGTTCAAACATGAAGAGACAAGTCTTCTATCAAAAGCACTGGAACAATAGTAGTGAATAGAATAATGAAAATAATAGCGTATCTATTGGTTATTGGTTTTAATAATGAAAATAATAATGGAATAATGAAAATAATTACCAATTAGAGAAAAAAGAAGCTGATATTGTAAAAGAAACTGATTACCTTATTGCTGTTTTGGTGCTCAAAAAAATAGCTTGAAGTGCATGTTTGTAAAGTTGGCTTTTATTAAGGAGCTTATAACAAAATTTTATACCCTTGAAGCTAAGATTGAACAAACTGCACAATCGTAAGACTGTGCTAATAGTTTATAAAAAATTTTTTTGCTTTGTGAAATTATGACAGAGCTGGACCTTTCTGTTGCGGAGTTTTTGCTAATGGGTCTTTTTTTGGCAAAAGTTTTTGGGAATATGAATGAATCTGAACCAAAAGTTCTTATTTTTTTGGTTAAAAAACTGTTTTTTGTGGAAGAGAGTTTTGAAGTTTTCTTATTCTTTTTTGACTTATTGTGAACAGCGCTATTTGTACAAGTAACGGAACTTCGAACGTGCAAAATTTCTTTTTTAGAAAGTCAAAGTTTTGTGCTATAAAACACTTAAAGTGGTCGGCCAACTTAAGACAGTGTTCGATACGTTTGCATATCTCGAGGAAAACTGATTAATTGTTTGCATGAAACCTTTAGATTGTTTAAACGTAGCCGAATTTACATTCACGATTGTTTTGGCAATGGATTAGAAAACTGAATTCTCAATAAGTTCAATTTCCAAGTAGCACACATTTACGTACTTATGCCCAAAAAAGTGTTATTTTACCCACACCTTTTCAATACAGTATTTAAACAAAGTTTAGGTGTACTACAGAGAAATTTGCATATATTGAAATTTAAATATTCGTCTTTTAAACAGTTACTTGTTGGTGTGAATTTCTTTTGAGTTTCAGTCTAAAGTGTCAGCAGTTAAAATATTTTTGAATGGTCCCGACTAAAATGGCTTACTTAACGAACTCTTATCGAAGTAGAAGCTTTAATTTAGTTTTGGTCTCTGCCTAGTTTTAATAGCTGTAAAGAAAATTTTTAATCGCTGTAAGCGTTTTGTTGTGACTGCAAAATCATTTCCATATGAATTCTGAAGTTCTTGCTTTTCCAGCTTTCGATCAATGAAAATTTCGCAAGTTTCTATCAATGGGTATTCAATGGAAAGGACACGGATATTAATGCTGAAATCGCAAAGAAACTTCTTTTTAGAGCTTCGTAAAGAATGCATTTTTTAAAAATTTGCATAAGAAAACTGTAAATGCCTTGTCTAAACGATAAATACAAATGAACGGTTGCAGTCTTAAATAAATGAAACTTTGAAGTAATTATTTATGTTTTTAACTCAGAATTCTATTCAAAAAAGAAATTATAGATTCATTCACAAGATTCACTGTAACACGTTTTTCATTCTTTTGGTGTACTGAAACGACATTATACTGACTCCACATTTTTGATAAAATTATATATTGCAAATGAAATTGTAAGTGTTTTTCTGCTGTAATATTTGAGCAGAAATTCGTACCGTAATTTGTTGGCTTAAACTAGTGCTTTCATGAAACACTAACATCCTAATTTTTTGATTTTTGATTTAGGGTCTGATGATGATGGAAGACCGGTTTTGATATGTTCAGATGTTTACATTTTACCAATTATTTTTGTGCATTCTGAAGTGTTCAAATAAAAGTTTGAAAGTTAGATTGACTTCTCTCTGTGTGAGGAAGTTTTTTGCTTCAATGTTTTCAGGAAGAAGAAAAATTTTGATTGGAATTGGTCCCCGATTGATGAGAGGGTTAATTTGAAGCGAAGCAAAGGCTTTGGAGGAATACGAGGGAAAATTATATATTTTTCAAAATTGCTATATCTAACCTTATAACATTGGACATTTCGAGGAGACAAGTCGATTTTGTAAACCTTTTTGAGTTTGTAACATTGCCCAGCATAACCGACCGAATATGGCTATGGGTTCAGGTGAGTGGCTAAAAAATAGACGTCTCGACCAGGCAACTTTGCAATCACTGATACGAAGCGTGTTTTAGCCTGTTGTGAGAATTAAAAAAATTTACTTGCTGTTAATTCCAAATTATTCCCTTTTAAAGAGTTTTTTTCCATACTCTGTGAAGCTAAGATAATTAGTGGCATCTACTACCACTCATGTTTGCCGTGCGTACAGTAATTGATGAATGAACTGCAGCTTTCCCAGCTCAAATTGATTAATAACATAAGCTGGTTATTAGTCCACATCTGTGACAGTACAGAAGTGACGAAAATGTATCGCTAGGCAATTTTTTTGAATTTTACGTTTGAACTTCTCCTTCTTCCAGAAAATAAAGATCTTAAGCAACAAAAACAGATATGCTGTTTAACACATGGCCTGTTGAAAGCAATTTTATATTATACGTCTCAGAAAAATAGTTTACTCTCACTTGATGCTTATGGATAGGAATTTTGCCTTTTCATTTTTAGCATTTTTTGATACATCCTGTTTTAGCTTTTAAGAAGGTTCATAAAGATGACAATCTTCCTAGAAAGTATTCAATCAAGAAATTACCAGAAAAGAGATAAGGAGAAAAAAGGGCGCAAAAGATGAATAATTCCTTCTCAGAGTATTTGGAAGAAAAATGATATACTTCTTACCACTCTCGAAAGACAGCTCCACTGAAAAAGATTTTGTGACACGGAAGAAAGGCAATTTTTATTAACTGCAAAAATATCAATGTATGAAACTT